AGATATTAATTAAGTAATTAATGTAATTACTAAATTAATAGTTGGATTTTAAAATATGATTCTAAAATTCAAATCCAAAATAATAATATGATTATTATAAAAAGGATAGTATTATATTTGAGATAAAAGATTATTTTAGTAATGTCTTGAAAAATGTTTTCAAGAACTATTATTTTATTATTTTCTCTTTAATATGATTAAATATTAAAATAATGAAAAGACAAAATAGTGGTGGTTGATGGTGGTTATGAACCACTCCACATAATTAATTAAAAGTCAATATTTGGTATGATTATTTAAATAAAATATGATTTTATTTAAAATAAATAATTACCAAATGTTGATTATTTTATACTAAAATATTTAGTATAACTAGGTGCAAAATGTTTGCACATAAATGCTAAGTCTTGAAATTTTTCAAGAGTTGAAAAAGAGAGAGAGAAAGAAGAATTGTTCTTCAAAATAAAAATAAAAATTTAAGAAAGAGTTCTTAAATAATAATAAAATAAAATTTTATCTCTCAATTAAAATCCTCTAATTAATATTCCTATATCAAAACCGATATTTTTCTACTAGCGAAGAAAGAGATTATCGGTGTTGGATTTCAAAAGGTGGACTCGATTAGAGGGAAGACACTTGGATTCCTAAAGCGAGACGAGTTCGAACTGGAAATTGATTTCACAAACAACGACGAGGAGGAGATAAAAAGGTAATTTTCAAAATTATCTTACAAATCAAAATTAGTAAAAGTTACTAGATTTTAAATGATGCTTATCCATTATACCGTTATACTTATGTACGGAATAAGTATTTATGAGATAAATACATGTAAATTTTTTTAAAATTCCGCTGCATATTCTATTCCATACAGTATGACGAACCCAACAGTAGAGTCATCAGTGATGAGAATATCATCAACATAAATCAAGACAAGAAGCAACTTCCCATTCTTCCTTTGAAAAAACAATGAAGTATCAGAAATAGATTTTTTAAAATTCATAGACAATAAGTGGCCTCTGATTTTTGAAAACCTGGCCCTAGGTGCCTGTTTAAGACCATAAAGAGACTTCTTGAGTCTACACACAGCAGTAGGATGCTTTAGATCAATAAATCCCTCAGGTTGAGACATAAAAACAGTCTCATGAAGATCACCATTTAAAAAAGCATTGTTGATGTCAATTTGTTGAATAGACCAGTGTTTTGTAGCAGCAAGAGTAAAAATCAACCTAATAGTAGAGGCTTTCACAATAGGACTAAAAGTTTCAAGGAAATCCACACCTGCAGTCTGTTGAAATCCCCTAGCAACAAGCCTAGCTTTAAACTTGGCCATTGAACCATCAAGGTTATATTTGGTTCTAAAGACCCACTTGCTGCTGATAATCTTCATATCAGGAGAAGGTTCAACCAAGGTCCATGGTTATTTTTAAGCAAAGCCTGAAATTCTTCTTTCATGGCACGAAACCAAGATGGCTTTGACAAGGCCTCAGAAACAGTAAGTGGTTCCAAGAGAGGTAGAGAAGTAAGAGCAGTAGAATAGGTCTTAGGCTTAAAGATGCCAGCTTTGGACCTTGTAACCATGGGATGAGAGGACTGAGGAGGAGAAGAAGTGGGAGAAGGAGGCTCCACTTGAAGATGAACATGAAGTGGTATACCAGAGACAGAAGATGAAGGGGAGGACTGAGGAGATGAAACAGTAGAAGTGGGAGATTCTGAGGTGATAGGAGAATGTGGCTGAGAGACCACAAGAGAATTAGACATTATAGGTGAATGAGATTGAGAAATCATAGGAGAAGTAGGCCTAGTAGGAGTAAATGCAGGCAAAGATGAGGAAGAAGAAGGAATAGGAAAAAACTGAGAAGTAGATGAAGCTAGAGGGGTAGGCTGAGAACCAAAGAGAGAGGAATAGGGGAACTCAGACTCATTAAAGGAAACATAAATGGCAATGTATAGCCTCCCACAGGGACTGAGACATTTATATCCCTTGTGTTGATCACTATAACCAAGAAAAACACATTTGTTACTTCTAAATTGAAACTTGTGGGATTTATAGGGCCTGAGATAGGGAAAACAAGAGCAGCCAAAAGGCTTTAAAAAGGAGAAGTCAGGTGAAGAGTGAAAAAGCTTTTGAAAGGGGGAAGGGTTTTATAAAACAGGAGTGGGGAGCCTGTTAAGAGTGAAGACAGCTGCATGAAAAGCATCCCACCAGTATTTGAGTGGCATTATTTTAGCCTGAGCCAATAAAGCTAGGCCCATTTCAACAATGTGGAGGTGTTTCCTTTCAGATTTACCATTTTGTTGATGGATATGAGGGCAGGGATGTCTGAAAGAAATACCAAGATTATGAAGAAAAGGAACAAAAGACCTATATTCACCACCCCAGTCAGTTTGGAGACATTTAATAGTGGTGTGAAACTGTGTTTGCACAAATTTGTGAAAGTGTTGAAAAACAGTAAGAGCTTCAGATTTAGCTTTCAATGGAAAAATCCAAGTAAACCGAGTATAATCATCTATAAGATGCATATAGTACTTATAACCATTAACAGAAACAACTTGAGATGGCCCCCATATATCAGAATGAACAAGTTCAAAAGCTTTTTAGGTCTTAAGTGGTTGAGAAGCAAAATGTTTTTGATGTAGCTTCCCAAGCTTACAAGCATCACAAAAAGGAAAAATAGAAGGAGTCTTGAAGTTCAGATTATTAAGTACAACTCTAAGGACATTATCACATGGATGTCCAAGTTTCTTATGCCAACTATTAAGAGAATCCACAGTTATTACATTTGCCATAGGCAAAGCAATAGCATTAAAGGAACAAGAAGAAAGATTCTGCAGAGGTGAAGAAGGGAAGGCAGATGACTTGGAGAGATCAAGTTGATACAAACCATCTTTAAGTTGGCCTTCCAACAGAGCTTGGTGAGTGTTTTTGTCCTTCACAAGACAGAAATCAGAATGAAATTCAATAAGCACATGATTGTCTTTGGTAAGCTGTGAAATACTAAGCAGATTCTTTGTAATATTGGGAACAAGAAGAATGTTGTTGAGTAAAATAGGAAAAGAATGTGAAGTGGGGAGAGAAGAAGAGCCAATATGAGAAATAGGAATAGTGGAGCCATTACCTACTGTGACCTTGTCAAAGCCTTGATAGGGAGTAGCCTGAAGAGAAAGATTTTCAAGGTTAGCAGTTAAATGATTAGTGGCTCCACTGTCAAAGTACCAGTTAGGATCTGAGGTTGTAGAGGCAGAGTCTGATGGAGCAGAAGAACCACCACTCAAATAGGCATGTGGAGAGGGAGAAGTGGTTTCCTGTCCTGTAAAACTGATGTCAAAACGCCTGTAACACTTCAATGCCACATGATTAGCCTTACCACACAACTGACATATAATCCTATCATTGTTTCTGTAAGAGCGGCCAGAGAATGAACCACGGCCACGAGATCGACCACGACCACGACCTCGGAAAGAGCCTCCACGAGATTGAACAAAATTGGCCGTGACATTACCATCAGAGACCTGAGATGGAGCAGTAGCAGGAAAAGCAACAGGAGCAACAAGAACATGACTAGCTAGCCTCATTTCATGCGTTTGTAAAGAGAAATGAACCTTAGATAAAGAAATTGAGTCCAGACGAGAGGTGAGATTAACAACAACTGATTCATAATTAGCACCTAAGCCACCAAGTATATACATGACTAACTCATCATCAGCAAGGCTATGACCAACAGAATGAAGCTCATCAGTAATAGACCTCATCTTCAAAATATAATCATCAATGGAGAGGTCACCTTTCTTAAGAGTTTGCAGTTGGAATTTCAGATGAAGAACATGCGCTTTGGACTGAGTATGAAAGAGCTGAGTAAGTACAGACCAAACCTCAGCTGAGCATGAACATCGCGTGAGATGCCCTAACATAGATTCAGTGATCGACGCAAGCATCCAGCTTAAGATGAGTTGATCGGTGCGCATCCACAAGGTGTAAGCAGGATTGATCTCTGATGCAGCAACGCCGGTAGAGGACGGAGGCAGAAACTTCGCTGGAGCCGTCGAATCGAGAAGATATTCTTCAAAGACATGAGCTGTACTGTGGACAGAATCTGAGCTTTCCAATAGGAAAAATTGGATCGATCGAGGCGGAGAGGGAGCAGATTGAGATGCGGTAACGCGATCGAAATGGACGATGAAGGAGAAGCTTCAACCATGGCGCAAACAGAAAGAAAAAAATCAAAAAAAAAATTAACGGAAGCTAGGTTTTCCGGCGATTGATACCATGATGGAGATAATGGGAAACATAGGGAATGAGAATAATGAAGAATCTCATTGATTGTGCCAACTGATTTTACAAGCTGTTTTATACAAGTGAGATGAGGGGTGGGTTATTATTATCCTAACCCTAGCTAATTGCTGAACTAATAATGCCAGCTAATCCACAACTAACTCTGTTACACTAATAATATGTTATACAAGACTACTTAACATATATTTATAATTTATATTTCCTTTCTTTGATGGTTTGTCCATTGCAATTGATGCTGGAAGAGTCATTGTTGACAACTCTCCTGACATAGTGCTAATAATGGACTAGATCAAAATGACTCAATTACATTCCAGTGCTTCTTCTATTAGTGAAGTTGCTAGAAAAAAAAAATATATCAAACGGCACAATGCACCTTGGGTCGCTACGGAAACAGCCTCCTTATATAATTACAAGGGTAAGGTCTGCTTACAATTGACCCCAGACCCCAGACCCTAACTTATTGAGAATATACTGGGTATGTTGTTGTTGTATATTTGATGGGATAATTACGCGGCCGAATAAAGTGTCAAGGATATGGTTAAAGAGATACTCTTATAGTTGCCTGACGTAGTGATTAATAAAAGAAAATTAAATTGGAAATTTTATTTGGTATGCCACATGCAAAAACATTGAAATGTCTGTCAAGTAATATCACCACTAAAACAAACAGTCATACAAGGTTGCCAACAGCAGAATGAAATCAAATGTTTTAGACTGCCCCACCAAACACATTCTTGAGCACATCACGTGATCGACACATGGCCTCCAACGGTATCACTTTGGGCATCGATGTCCCGGTCCCTTCCGCCAAATCGACCAAGGCCTCGTCAACCCTTTGCCACTCAAAGCCCTGAATCAGAGACCCTAAGGTCAAGCCCACCATACGTTGGGCCAGGCCCATACCCGGGCAGGATCTCCTTCCCATCCCAAACGCTATCAGCTTTGACTGTCCAGCCACTCCGGCATCGAAACGCTCCGGGATGAAGCTGGTTGGGTCATCCCAAATCTTGGGGTCCCTGTGAATGGCCCAAGCATTGACAATCAGGATCGTGCCACGTGGTATATGGTACCCACCGATGGTACAATCGTTCGATGCCTCGTGAGGTAAAAGCAATGGCGCTGCTGGGAACAATCGGAAGGTCTCGGAGATGATGTTTTGAAGGTAAGGGAGGTTGGATAAATCGGACTCGTCGATCAGGCGACCTTTCCCGACCAGATTGTCGATCTCGACTTTGGCCTTGTGCAGTTTGTCAGGGTTGTTGAGTAGGGCGGACATGGCCCATTCTATGGTCACTACTGAAGTGTCAGTCCCAGCGAGCAGCATAATCTGCCATTTAGCACATATTCACGTTACTTGTCATATAGACTAAAATGTTAAATAATAAGTAGATAAACATTAAGCAGGCACAGGAATTTGTGAATGCAGAAATAAAAAGAACATACCAGAATAATCCCTTTAATGGTGGTGTCGTTGTAGTACTGAGGCTCCTTATCCTGCAGGGAAAGCAGGTGATCGATCATGGTGTTCCCGCCCTTGCTCCGCCGCTGCTCGTCGATCAACCGCTGCAACACGGCGTCCATTTTCCGGCTCATCCTTACCAATTTCTTCTGGAAGCCATTGTAGTCGATCCACCTCAGCACCGGAAAGAAGTCCACCGGGTGGGACACCCCGCCGTTGCGGAAAACCTCCTCGATCAGCTCCCGGAACTCCCTGGCTTCCTCATCGCCGCCGTCCACCCCAAAGTACCTCTTCCCGGCAACCATCCGCATGACGTTGTTGAAGGTCAGCTCCGACAGGCCGGACCTGAGCTCGACCCTCGCGAAGCCCCCGGAGGACGACGAGACCCGGTGGTGGAGCTTCCGCAGCAGGAGCCGAACCTCGTCGTGCCGTATGGAGTTGAAAGCGCTGAGCCGCGCGGCGGAGAAGACCTCGACTGTGGTGAGGCGGCGGAGGTTCCGCCAGTGGTCTCCGTAGGAGGAGCCGGCTAGTGTGGTGTAGTTGTAGCTGATGTATTTGCTAATTATCAGCCGGGGGCGGTTTGCAAGGACGATGTCGTTTCGGGTGAAGCACTCCTCGACGAGGTCCGAGGAGGAGACGACTACAACAAGGCGGCAGCCGAGGCGGAGGGAGAAGATGGGGCCCACCTTCTCAGCGAGGCGGTTGTAAGTGCGGTGGATGGGTGTCTTGAGGAGATGGAGGTGGCCAAGGATCGGGAGGGCCCGGGCCAGGCTTGGTGGGAGTTTATGGTTTCTGGCCATTTTTGAGAATGATTTGAGGGAGATTAAGAAGATGAGGAGGAGAGTGAGGGAAGGGTAGAACCAACTGATTTCCATTGTTAGAGATTTTTTTTTTTTTTTTGATGTGTGTGTCTTTGAGTTTATCTTTGAACCTACTTATTTATATGTGTGTGTCAGATAAATAGCTTGAGCACAAGATAAACATGGCCTTACTGTGATTTGCCCAACATGGCCTTCCTCTTTTTTTTTTTACTATTTTATTATCACTGTTTTTGATGGTGATGGTGATGATTTGAATATTCTAATAAAATCTATATATATATATATATATATTAAAAGTCAACCTATTTACCAAAAATAGTAGCAAGAAAAGTCAACACTCATTTAATGAATACCTTATTTGAAAATTTTTTACTATATGCATTAAATGCTTGCATATTTACATTTATTATTCACATATGATCTTAAAAAAATTTTACTTAAATAATTTATGCAATGATTTTACTGATATCCATTATAATTAATATTTGTCGAGTAATATTTTTTAACCTTTATTTAATTATATAAAACTAATATTTTTTTTAAAAAAATAATATTATTTATTATTTAAAAGATAATGATCACGTCATTAAATGATTTTATTGATGGTTAGATAATAAAATTATAGTTATTCTTTAAAAATTTTACTAAAATAAAAACCGGCTTAAGAAAAAAAAAAATCCCATAACATCCGATAAGTAAAAAAAAAAGTACGTAAAATCTTTACTAAATTAAAAAAGACTTTATTTATTTGTCTTATTCTATAATAACATCGATTTAGTCAAAACAAATCTCATAATCGGTGAAGTCAAAAAATGTACGTAAAGCCTATTTATACTAAAAAAAAAAAACAGATCCAAAATTCTTTATCTAATTTTTGTTTAAAGCATTTTATTTAATATTTATTTATATGAAATATTGGATAGGATTGGTGGATCTGAGTCAATTTTGAAATCGCGTTGTTTGGTATGAGAGGATTATCCGCATCTTATATCTGTATAAAGCATATTATTTTATATTATTTAATTAATTTATTTAATATTAAATTTCTTTATCTATGATATCAGTTTTTTCAAAAAAATTGAACAAACAAACAAATAAAAAAGAAACGAGATTAATTACCTTCGACTTGTAAACAATATATGGGTGGGCGTAAATATTTAACAATGTTGTTTCAAGTTCCTTAAATAATACTATAACTATGATGTTGAAATATAATATGTTTTATGAGTGACGTAAATATGCTGTTTAAATTTCCCTAAAATAATTTTCTTAAAAATTATGCTGTTTAAAGTTCCTTAAATATTAATATATTTAAAGTATACACATGTTGTAATATATTAAAGTCAAAACAATGTTGGAAGGCTTTTGAATTATCTAAGTTAATTAATTTAAATGTTTAATCCCATTAAATCTTCAATGGAATACTTTTACTAATCCCGTGAGCATGTTGTTTTGTTATTGTAATCAACTTATACACTATTTTACTAATAAATTATTTAATATCTATGTATAAGGAGGTCTTTAATAATATATGATTTTTTTTTTGTCAGATACTATGTTATTGTATAATTTTCATGTGTACTATAAAACTTTTATTGAATATTGCATCTTATAATATAATATTCCCTAAATAAATATATCTCATGTCTCGCACTGGTCCCGTACATATATATCCCGTACATTTTTTTATTCATTTATATAATTATAAAGCTGGATAAATAACCTAAAAATTGTGCACCCCGTGCATCGCACGGGCTCTGTACTAGTTACATCCAATTGGTTGCAAATATTATAATACTAAGTACCTTTTACGTTATTATGGAAGCATTCTGTTTGGTTTTTTAACTGTTAGATGCACATGTAGATTAGTGTAACATGTATATCTAACAATTAAAAATCTCAACGGAATAATACCGTAATGAGACTGTAGTTTTTTCCTATAATACTATTGAATATCTAAGTATTGTTTTTTCTTTAAGGAAAAATTGCACTATTCGTCCACTAACTATACCCTCGTTGCATTTTCGTCCTTTAATTGTTTCCAGTTTACAATTGATACACTAACTTTTTTTTGGTAATTTTAGTCCAAAATGATATTCCGGTGCTCATTTTTGCCGGAATAGCTGATGTGACGCCCAGTCAGATCGGAATTTCCATTCTCGGCGTGACGTGGAACGAGGTGGCGCTAGTCAGATCGGAAAAAATGCACTATTCGTACACTAACTTTACATATGTTGCACTATCGTCCTTTAATTGTTTCCGGTTTCCAAAATCAGAAAAAAATATTAAGAAAATAAAAATAAAAATAAAAATAAAAAGCTTTAAAAAGAAATTGAAAAAATCAAAAGAAAAATAAAAAAAATATAATTTTTTTATGTAATAAAAATTATTTTTTAATTTAATAAAAAATGAAATATTAAATGATTAAATAAAAACGAAATAAATTTATAATGAGTGATAAATATTTTTTATTTAATGATTAAGTATTTAATACAAAAATGAAATATTTAATAAAATATTTTTTTATTTAATATTTAATTTTTCATTAAATATTTAACCATTAAATAAAAATTATTTATTAAATATTTATTACTCATGAAATATTTATTTCTTTTTTTATTAAATATTCTATATATTTTCATTAAACAAAAAATGATAAATATTTATTTTTTTATTAATTATTTAACCATTAAATAAAAAATATTTATTTCTCATTAAACATCTTTTTTGTTTTCCATTTCGTTTTTTATTAATTATTTCGTTTTTAATTAAATAAAAAATGTATATTTATTAAAAAAAACATAATTTTTTATTTTTCTTAAAATCATTAAAAAAATGATTTTTTTATTAATGAATAATCTTTTTTGTTTTGTTAATTTTTTTTATCCACATGACTTTTCTTTTTCTTTTTAAAGCTTTTTTTTTCTTTTGATTTTCTTAATATTTTTTTTTTCTTTTAATTTTGTAAATCGGAAACAATTAAAGGACAAAAGTGCAACGAAGGTAAAGTTAGCGGACGAATAGTGCAATTTTTCTGATCTGACTAGGCGGCACCTCGTGCCACATCACGCTGAAAATGGAATTCCGATCTAACTGGGCGCCACATCAGCTATTCCGGCGAAAATGAACACTGGAATGTCATTTTGGACTAAAATTACCAAAAAAAAAAGTTAGTGTACCAATTATAAACCGGAGACAATTAAAGGACGAAAGTGCAACGAGGGTATAGTTAGTGGACGAATAGTGCAATTTTTCCTTTCTTTAATGGAATATATCTACTCACAAAACTCCTGAAAAAAAATGTAATTGAAATACAGAGTCAAGTGCACATTGAAGCAAGCGACCCATAAGACATGTGAACCATCTCGCGAGCGGCCCAAGAACCTGAGATTAGGTTCGTCGATCTTACGATCGGTTGAGACCTGGTCCTGCAGATCACACTCTGAGTCTTCTCGTGGAAAATTGACGATAGCCCCTCGCCTTAACAGTGAATTGATAAAGCTGATGGCACCACCCAATCCGTTCCATTCGCAAAAGAAAGTTTTGCATGGATACACACGGACCCACACTATGCCCGTAGTCGGCTCCGACCATTGAACGCTTTCCTCACTATTTTTTTGTATGAATACCGACCACTTCGAGTCTTAAAAAGAATAGTGAGGATCAAACACAACTACGAGCACAAAATTCCCTCTTCATATGGTTGTAATACGTTACTAAACAGTTATTCAATAAAAAAAATATTGAGAACGTTTCTCTTTGCTGATCGCCACAATCGATCGGCAAAATCAGTGTCTTGTTCTTTTTTCAAGCATATCTAGTTTCCAAAATCTTGCCATATCTTTTCGAGACTCATTACCATTAATTACACCATAAGTATACTATAACCCCCGATTAAGCCGCCTAATTTATATCCACAATAACTGTTGGCGGTCGACCGTTAAATAAATGGTGCTAGAGTAAGAGCGGCCATCTAGAGTTACATTTGTACCTCATCACTATATAAGGTCATCCTCTGTTAATATTTTTTCATAAGCACTTTCTCACTTCCATTTTATACACACTCCTCATCCTTGTCAAATGAATGGCGGCACAACCAGTCCTCTTTTTCGTGTTACCGACTGAAAGAAAGGGCAGTTATATAGAGTCCTCAGTTACCAATTACCTCGTTACTCCGGCGAAATAAAAATTTCCACAATGGTATTCAAATACTTTCTATTTGTCTCCTCACCACACAAAAAAATCAGATCTAACTATGACCAAAGTCTGTATTACCCAACCTTCGACAAGAATATAGATCAATTAGCTCACCCTTGACAATAACATGAAGGGTGTGGAACTCTTTGATCTAGAGTAATGACGACTTCCTTAATAGCCAGGGGATTGGGACATGTGTTTGTCCTATTTTTGTTATCTTTTTCTTTGTAGATTTATTGATTCGTGTCCCCGTTTTTAGGTCTTTTAAGTTTTTTGTGGTCCACCAGTCGTTCGTTTCGCGTGTTTTTCGTTTAGTTTCCGTTTTCGATATTTTCTACCGCCTTGCCTGTTTTCGTGTGTTTTTCTCGTCTTTTGTGGTGTGCAGGTTCAGATTTTTTATCACACATTTGGAGAAAGAAGAACCCGAGCAGCGTTCGTCCCAACCCTTAACACGAATCAACTCGAGTGCATAACATTTGGCAGGCGTCGTGCCGAGCTCTGCCCCGCAGCAGAAAGAGTGACACGCAAGCTCCACGCCGCGACAGAAACTCATTGTTGCGCTATGATCAACGCGCAATCGTCCATCTGTCGCGCCGCGGCATCGAGAAGTTTAAATTTTCAGATCTTTTTCTTTTTTTTTTTTTTTT